TTCAGCAGGGGTGCCTGTTTGCTGGGCAGTACTGCAGAAGATGGGACAAGAGTTCCAGGGGCAGGGGAAGCTGTGCAGGGCAGGTCCCTGTGCTGCGGAGGAGGCTGCAAAATAAAGCTGGCAGGGGACAAATGGGATGTGATCAAACCCATTGTTGTGAGAGAGAACTCCTGGGGGTGGGGTGGAAATTGATAATGAGCTAACATAAGGAGTAATTAATGCAATTTAGAATAATGTTGTCTTTAGCTCAGTGATGTGCTGTGCTCTTGAGTTGTGTGAGATGTGCTGTGGTGGGAGTCAGTGAATAGCATGATGGGGGAGACTGTGGAAGTCGGGCTGTGACAGATCCTCCTGTGCGTTGTGGCTACCCTCTTTCTGCCACCTGTTGCACTGTCTTTCTCACCACCTTCTCTGGTGCTTGTATTCATGCCTGTTGCAGGACAGGCCACAAGAAGAGAGTGAAGTGGGTGCATGAATATAAATTTTCCTAATTCGGGCTCTTTTCATTCTTCCCTCCTACCTTGTCTAGCATATGTTTTGGGGATATCACTGGCACAGAGGTAAGGAAGAAATGTATGTCTCTGTAGCAGGTGAGGAGTTGAGATAACCAATATAGCAGACTTTATTTTAAAAAAACAAAAACAGGCTGCTCTTCCTTCCCCTGAAATTCTATCCTAGAAATAAGTAAGTAATTTGAAAGAAAATTCAGCTTTTTCCATCTCAAAAGCACCCTGGTGGGAACCTGCACCATGGGTGCAGTGCCCGGCCTTTCTTGGAGGCTGCTGGCTCTGCCCTGGGCACCTGTTTGTGTCCTTGGGCTGGTCCACAGTGGGACCAAGAGATGTGCTGGCAGAGTCAGTCCTGCCCAGAGCTGAGCAAGGACTCTCCCTCCTCTGCCTTGCCCTGCCTGAGGTCCTCTTAAGCTTTTCAGGGACTGATTTGACACACTGAGCCCTAAGCAGTTGGCACAGTTGCTTAGGAACAGTCAAAGGCAGATACACATTTGATATAAATGCAGCTGTGATTAACTGTACAGACAAAACCAAGGTCAGGGAGGAGCTTTTGCCTCCTCCTTTTGCTGTCTAGTTCTCTGTGAGAAGCTCTGGTACCAAGGATGTGTACGTGTTACTGATGCACTAGCACTGAAGCAGGAGAGATGCAATCACCTCGATCTCATCTCTGGTGTCACTGGTGATACTAAAACTCCCTGTTCTCTGTTTCTTCAGAGGTAACCAAATGCTGCAGCTTCTTTCTGGGAAGATGGGAGATGAGAACAGCTTATTTGGGAATACTTGAACAAATCTCAGTCTGTTTTTAAAAGGCACCCATATCCCCTATACACATATATATGGATTTGTGCTTAGTTGCGAAGTTACTTCTTGTAGAAACAGTTTTGTTTTTTCTACCAACACTCATTAATGCAAGTCATGTCTAGTATTTGGCCTCCGCGGTGGTCTGTTGTTTAGGTCTGTCTGCATGTATCATAGAATCATAGACTGGTTTGGGTTGGAAAAGAGCTTCAAGATCATCTAGTCCCAATCCTCTCTGCATGGGCAGGAACACCTCCCGCCAGACCAGGTTGTTCAGAGCCCCATCCAACCTGGCCTTGCACACTTCCAGGGAGGAGGCACCCACAGCCTCCCTGGG